AAAATATAAATTTTAATACAGAATATATTATAATTATTATAGTTTATAAATTCATATTTAACAAGGGGTTTTCATTTAGAGCAAAATTATATTCATGAACACGTTGAATGATATCAAGGATAAGTCATATTAACATATATTAATATAATGTTCATTCCGTTAAATTAGAACCGTTAAAAATAATTGTGTTATATACTCAGGAATAAAATTTGAAGAAATAAAAGTATTTTAAACTAATCCTAATTTGGTATTCATTCGAAATATTTTTAATTCGTTATATTTAATTGTACTTCGAAGTTAATTCAATTTATAATTTCGTTCAGGAAAAAAAATGGAAGTGACACAATAAAAACCGTAATAAATTTATGATTAAGCAAGTAAAATAAAACGATTTTATTAAAATAATTAATTTTTCCCCAGTGAACAATGTAATGCGTATTTTAGAGAATTTCTTCTTTTTTTTTTTATGATAATTTAGTATATAGCGAAAAGTTGTTCAACTTGTTTACGAATTATATTCAAGAAATAATAATTAAAGCGTACAAAATTTGTACATCCACGGACAATGCAAAAATACACGCTAGACCTATTTATTATAAATTGTCTATAATTTTCAATTATAAATTATTTTGTTTTTTAAACATAGGCATCGAAAAAGGTAAAAAAAAATAAATTAAATCCGTGTGGTGACATTTTATAAATATTAAAAATTATTAAAACATTAAAATAATAAATATCGGATTATTCACACACTTGAGCGTGTTGATTATATTTTGATAAAACATAGAAAACTACAATGGAATAATAATTTTAATACACGTTTTTACTAAGGGTAGATGTATAATTACGGATGACTGATAAATTAAAGACTTATGCTTGGCAAATTATAATACGAGGACAGAAACATATGTGAAGACATGTGATCAACGTTGGAGTTGTTGTTTTATTCTCGTGCGCGCACTCCCGCAGACGTGTACAGGATGTCTATAAAAATACAAATAAATCAAATCATATTATTAGACATATAACAAGGCCTAAAATTGTGTGTATAACGTAATTAGAAAGTGTGGAATAAACTGATAAAATCGTAATCGTTGGATCAATTATTGGAGGCGCGAAAATAGTTACCTATGTAAACAAATATTGTATAATTGGTTTATACTACGAACGTAGAACATTTTTGATAATTTCTACGATACGGTTGATTACATTTGCAGAAGATAAATATTTGGTTGCAAAGACAGTTCCGGTGTTACAGATCTTCTATTTAAATATGAAATATGAAAAATTGAAAAAAAATTCACTCCTTCGGCAGCCATTTTGTTATTTACGCACAGCAAACCTGCGAAAGTCTAATGCGGTGGTGATCAAATTGAAATCTTCTAATTGTGCAAGCTCTATTCTCGTAGTGTTCGTTAAATTTTCTTAAGAATATTTTTTTTTATGTAAGTAACACTGTATAAGTAACTCTTACTGTAAACTGGCCATTCAGTGGTATTGGTCCCTAGTCAGCATCCTATGAATGATGCATTTGTATACGGTCGAAAATTAGTTTTGTAGTCATAAATGGTCAGAGAGTGAATTCAGACTAAATATCAGATGAAGTTATGAAAATAACAAAGAAAAAAAGTATTTAAATTAACCTGCACCAAGTGTCGTTGTTATATTAAATATATTATAAAGTTTTATGTGAAATTGTTTAAGAAGTATTATTATTTTTTTTACGTAGCTTTAGATTGTGGTTTAGTGGCTAATTTTTAATTTTTTTTTTACGTTGAAGAAAAAAGGCCAAGAGATGCGTTCAAAAATATAGGATTCCCTATCAATTATTCTAAGTAATATTAAATGAATGTCTTATTTGTTATCACATCTAACGAAAACGTTGACTAGTAATTTACGTGATCTCGTTTTTGAAGCTGTCAGTTTGTCACACGTGCAAGTGACTACAGAGGACCAACACAAACCATAATGGCTGCGTAGCATCCAATGGCGTATTTACATTTTTCGCTTCCTAGGCATTTTAAAGATTGAAGCTCACGTAATATTACTAGAATTAAAAAATATATGTATATTTTATAATATGATCTTGCATTTTTATATTCAGAATGCACAGCTGTTGTGTAAGTACATACAACTACTCTAGATTTCTGGAGGGCTCTAGAGAGCTAGTCCCTTGAAGAGCGTCTTAAACGAGTTTTGCTGTATGTGTATTTAATTATTTTTCGGGAATCGCTTTTTGGAGTGGTAATAAAGTTCAACAAGTTGTATGCAACACATTTTCGTAAAGGGTTCGCAAGATATTTGATACTGATAGTGTACTATAAAAATATATGGTTTTTAATTTTTCTTCGTAAAAAACACTAAAGAAAGTCAGCAAATGATTTTTAAAAAATATCGTGGTATTGAATAAATGTAGTTTATCTCAAGATTATTTTTTGAATTTCATAACATCATCACGTTGAAATCTAAAGCAAAATTACACCATTATTTTACGTCATTGTTAGCGAAGTGAGAAGATATATATATATATTATATCTGAATTCACATTTTAAAAAATGTTTCATATCATATATAATGGCTTATCGACAATATGTTAAACGCTTTAGAATAGTAATTAGAAAATAAGTAGTAAACGATTAGATTAACAGTTTAACATTAATAGTTTTATGACTACTAATTTTTATTTAAATTAAAAGTATGTCCGGGTAAAAGCTAAGTTTATATTGATTAAAAACACCGATAACGATTACCATTTTATAAAACAGATTATGTTGTACCTATAATTATATTTCGGTAGTCAGTACGACATTATTGTACCGTGTAAATGCAAAAAAATTAGATAAATGCCCAAACAACACAATTAGGTGCTGTCTGTCATCGATGAATTTTAGGAGGAGGAGGATGGTTTGCTGGAATTGGTATGTGTCATTAAATTGATCTTTGTCATTATAATACCAAAAATTACTATTAGTACATAACCTTCCGACATGGAGCGTTTTCTGTTAAGTGGATGAAATTTTTTTTTATTTTACAGGAAAATTATTGAATGAACTGTTTGGAAAAGCGAAATTTTAAAATAAATATCTACTAGTAAGGAGTATTCTTGTATAAGTCAAGTTTATGATACACACAAAAAATCTACTTGCTTTATCTAAAAAATGTTTAACAAAAGCACATTCAAATAACTACTTTAAAGTGAAGCTATCTATAGTAATACTAAACAAGTCTCTTTTAACAGATTTACTGTATAAAAGTTGGATCACAAAGAAAGAAGAAAATGTACATAATCGTACGATCAATGTATAATTATTTTAATTTAGTTCTGAATTTAAATTATTACAAAAAATTTCCAAGCAAATGTATGTATTTATGAAAGTGAGGAGAAGCTGTAGAAACTAAAATACAAAACTATCGTTTTTGTATGTTCATATAATTATATCTTTACGTTAAACGTATCGAAAATTCTGATGAATAATAAATTATTTCTTACAAGCGCTAATTGAGTTTAGTAACTGTAAGCGTTGAGTAAAATTAAACAAGTTGAAAGTTATGTATTTTTTATGCAATATGATCGCTTTAGATATAATTCCGAAACTCTCTTGAAAACGTACATGACCTATTTACACCCTTTATATTCCTCGAATTCAAATCAAGAACAAATATTAATTAAATCGCATTGTTATAGTATGGAAATAGTTATAAAATCGAAAAAAATACAAAAGTTTTATTTTTTTTTTACGAATCTGATATATTTTAGATAAACTAATACTATTATAAAATGGACTTTGATCATAAGTACTTATAATTTTCCATGATTTTTAATTCCTTTTTGAAATTTGTTATAGAATATTATGAAAAATTCGAGATTTTCTCCATCACAAAACATCCTACATGATAACAGTAATATATATTACTGCTACTTATATTACTACTACTTATATTACTTAATATAAATATTTTCTGAGCAATATTCAAACTATTCAAATTAGCCTAATCACTTTGAAAAAATAATCCACCTACTCGAGAATAAGATGGAAGTATTATTTGAACTAAAAGTTTGTTTTCTTTCGTATATTGGTTGCTCCTTTTCTCCACATTGAAATATTTTGTAGAACGTTGCAGGTGTAGATCAGTAGTTTTCTTATAATCTGATAGCGAGTTTGATTTTATTACCCGGCGACGTATTCGGGCATTTATAACATATAGATAGACTAAACCGTAAAGCGGAAGAGAAAAAGAAGTAGAAAATTCACTTGATCTAAAACACTACGTAAACGGTCTGACGAAAAAATAAGAATATACTCTTCGTAGCGGGGGAACTGCTCGATAGTTTTTTTTTTTTTTATCGAAATGAAATCTTATTTCACAATCACATCGAAACATACCGCCGTAGTACGTCGCGCGATTACGGTATTAATATCGACAATCATACGTCCACGGCCGACAAATCGCTCGATCGGTACACGGACGTGCCCCGTCGAACAGAGTCATTGGGGACGAGGTTACCGAGGGCTCGACGGGTTCGTTTGCCGGCGCGGCCCGAGGCCACTACACGGTGCCGGTACGATCTCACGCGGTCGCGACGTGTCCCACCTGTACGCTGCCGACGAGCCAAAGTCACCAGCGTGGTCACGTGTGAGCGCGAGAAGCACAAGGGAAACGGTGGCCGGAAAAAAAAAAAAAGGCCGTTGGCCCCCGCGAAAGCGGCTGCCCGACGAAAAAAATGAAATCCGACGGGGGAAAATCACGGATCGGTGTGTCGGTTGGCGTGCGCGCGAGACGAGCCGCGGCGGTCCGCGTCGCTGGAGGCAGCACCGTTGCGCGCGGGGCCCGCGAGACTCCGACCAGAAGCGGCTTCGGGTAGTTTCCGCTCGCGCTCGCACACGTCCGGTGCCCGTTACGCCGTCGCCGCGTTCGCCGTTCACGTCCCGCCACGGGGTCCGCTGAAACGCGCGCGCAAATCGTCCGCGGTTTCGTCGCCGGCCGTTTCCGTCCACGCGGCTGGGGCAAATCAGAAAATCAAACAACATCGATCCGGCGAGTCTTCAGGTACTTTTACACGTTTATTTCTTGTGCGTGCGCGTGACGACGATGATCCGTCGCGACGGCCGATCGGGGGGAGGGGAAAAAAAAAACGAAAAAACGAATAAATAAATAATTTAACGGCTCCGAGATCGCATCTCGCGAACTAGCCGGTGCCGTGGCTGTGCGTTTCGCGGCACCCGTGTTCGATTTTCCGAGCGCGGCAACGTGGTCTTCCGCGCGATTACTGTTGCGTTTACACGATATTACGACGTCGATCAAAACCGCGTACACGCGTTCCGGACTCTTTATTTACTCTTACGTGAATCCTAGACAGTCGCATGCTTCAAACAGCGTTATCGTTGTCTTCGGTTTTCATCGAAACTGACAAAAAATAACGTCTTCGTTAACAATCGCACGCTGCCCGGTGGTTTAGGAATACTGCTGCCTCCTACCGCCGGATTTATAGATAAAAAAAAGTTTGCAATTAAACTCGATCACCGAAATGACAATATTATACTTTTTACGTTATTAGAACACGTTATTACGGTGGATATACCCTTAAAATGGCATTCTTTGAGTTTGACGAACGTAATTTTTATAACTCTTTATTGAATAGCTAGTATAATAATGGTCACAGTTAGTAAATAATTCGAATGTAAAAATTAATAAACGAATATAAAGAGTGGAAAAATAAAACGTTACCGTTTCAACGGGTGGGTTTTTGCGCTCTCGGTGAGTAAGTGAAAGCATGACATTTTGAAATCGGGTAAATATTATCTACACATCATCGGAAAAACGTACGTCCAGTTGAATTATTACTTCCCTTGCTGGCGCCTGTCGGAAGGTTTCTACGATAGTAATTAATAGTCTTATATAACACAACTGGAATACGATAGTCGAGCACCTATACAATATTGTAAGGTACCACCGCCGATTGGGAGGGTAGGTGATGATTACGGATTTCTAATCAATTCTTAAGAAACGGCAAATACCGTTTGGGTTTCGATAGCAACTATTTATCAGCCGATGAGGTCCATTTTTTTCCTCAAGAGTTATTGGTTCTTTTTTTTTATCAAAAGAAATACTCATTTTTTGGTCAGCTTATAACGTATTACGAACATTTTTTTTGTATATTTTAGATCATTGTCACTATTAAATATATGAAATAAATAACATATATTTTAAATTTTATTAATAGCAATATATTATAATTTCAATTTCATATTTCTAAGCAAAATATTTGAAAATTTCGATAAAAATTTAAATCATTGAACATTAAATCTCATAAATTTAGTAGGTATTTGTAAATATTTGAAATTTTAACATGGGCGAAGTTTAGGTTAGGTATGGATAGGTGATCTAAATTATAATTAAGTTTAGTAAAAAATATTGGTTCAATAAAACAAATACGCTTTTTGTGTTTTAATAGTTCCATAGACATATAGTGTTTAAAAATGTAAAATCGAAACTTTATGTGGCCAATTAAAAAAAAAAATTAAAAAAATAAATATCTTAACCAATAATAAATTATTACTTTTTTGTAAATATCATATGTGGTAATAAGAAAAATAAATATATAAAAACAATTTTCTGTATGGAACACAAACATATTAAAATAAAATAAATACTTAAATTATAATTTCGTATAATCTTCTAATTGATCGATCCGACCAAAATGTAAATACTTTTGTAAAAAAATTGTCCGGGTCGGCGTTTGAATTCTTCAGTTTGAACACCAACTGATATCTTCCTTATTATTATTTAAATGCAATTTTTTCGCTCAGAGAGATAAAAAACTAAATAAAAGGTAGCAGCGAAGCAAAAGTGTGCAAAACAATGTTTCTCTGTTTGGAATCTACACCCAAATGATATTTTGCAGAACTCGTGATTTTCTTTCTTTTTTTTTTTAAATCTGGTCCATTACCAGTTTTGAAATCAGCTATTTTTGACCAATTTTATTGAGGATAGTAAGAAAATGTTTGAAGCTTTTTCTAAACGAAAATGTACGAACATTATTCAAAATTATATCTTACATTTTTTTTTTACAAAATAAAATTATTCTTTTCCTCTTTAACTCTTTAACCGTTTTTTTTTAGTTTTTTCGTTTTTCCACACACACCATAGAGCATTTTGAAAATTATGTTAAATTTTTGGCCATATATCTAACTATTTGAATTGGAAATCGAATGCAGACGCGCCTATTTCGGACGGCTCGCTATTGTAATTTTTGGTTGTTTCCAGGAAAATTGACATTGTTATGTAGCATACATCAATTTTAGTTTCAAGAAATCAATTTTAGTAATTTTTTGCATTGAGTACATAAAAAAGAAATATGTTATACATTTAGAAATATTTTTGTATAATTTTTTACCAATTAAATATCTTTCGTTATAATATTTTGTTATATCACATTATTTGTTGCTTTTTTTTTAGTTTTTTTTCTTTCTCGGAATTCGATATAAGATTATTCTTTATATTGTAATACAACTGTAAATTGTTTGAACATTTTAAAAATTAGTTTTTAAAAACGTCTTTTTATTTTATAAAAGTTCAGTTATAAATATTTGCAAAATGTCATGAATTATCATCGTTACGAATGTTGTAATATTAATAATTTTTATTTATATTTTTGACGTGAAACGTGTAATTGTGGATAAAATCATTATAAATCATTGTTTATACGAGATTAATTGAACCTCAATCAAACTGTATTCAAATTTTTTTGTTAGCATTTGGATACATTAGTTAGTATTAAGTAATACGTAGTTCTTAATGTATATGTATATAGTATTATTATATAAGTATCTATATTTGTATAACTAATATATATATATATATATATTCATTAAATTTTTTTTTTATGTTTTAATATAGTTGAAATGTCAATGGAAAATTTCCGCTTACACTACACTATACTCCCGTTTTTTATTAGAATTTAAATGTTTTTATCATAATAATTAGTTTTATGAGTGTTTAAAATTCAACAAAAAAAACTTTTATAATTATTGAGTTTCATAATTAAGTCTTTGTATATGAATAAATGCAATAATTAATTCTTTCTTTTCGAAAACTATAAACCATATAATGATATTATACCGACTTATTTCCATTCAAAAAGTTTATGCCGTAGGGACGTAGTATTACATTTCTAGTTACTGCATGTATTGTGAGGATTTGCCAATTTTTTTCGGTGACATGAAAAAACACTGTGCAAAAAAATAGCTTTCACAGTGACTAAATTCGTTTAATAGCGCAACTTAGAAATGCATTGAGTTTTATAAGTAATTATTTTTATCGTATTTTTACTGAAGATTTAAGCTGATTCGGAAGTAAGCTACTCAATTTTAGAAAAATAATCTATCATTTTTTGGGTCTCAAATTTAACTCATGAGTCATGACATATGATAACATATGATTTTGTAACTCACCGATTACGTTAGGTTGGATTTTATTTTGACTTGAAGGTCTCTGTAAGTGGGGTCAAGAATATATTTATATTATGGTTATAGTCACTGTAACTATAGCTTAGTAATTATCAAGTATATAATAAAATAATAATCGTAATAACATTTTGAGAGTTAATAATATACCTAATTTTTTCAATTTTTTACATGACATTTTATAATTCTGTCACACTTTAAAATCGTGTTTATTGAATAACTTTAGTTTTTGAACAAGTCTTTTACGTATAAATTATATACGATTCAAGAAATGGTTCTAATTGCTTCATATTTCCATTGCCCAAGCATATTATTAAAGTAATAAATTTAATATTGTAAATTCTGTTATGTTTGTATTTTTACCTTTCGATTCGATATCAAGTTATTACCATGGAAATTTAAAAAAATATTTAAGTATCTAATAGTAATATTATCAAATATATAATGATATCACAATATTTCAATATGTAATTCGTTGGACAATAATGAGTATGAAATGAATAAATACGAGTACATTTAAAATCATGATATACTACGTACTTAAACATATTAATAATTAAATATGAATTAATTTGAACTTTTTCGCATTCAATTTTAGAAATTTTAGGCCAGAGAAGTTTCCTTATTATGAAATAAAAAATAAGCTACATGGTCCTTTCGAACTTTTGTTGTTATTTTTTACGGATGCAATTTAATTATATATTTACTGGTTGAGATTTGAAATTATTCGGAATGTGTATATATTGGACTACTATCAATTTGACGGCAGATAGCAGGCGCGGATTCAGGGGGGGCTATGGGTGCTCGGGCACCCCCTGTCGCCTTGGCCACCAACAAAATAAATTTATATTATAAATTATGTTATTTCTTATTTTTCAAAATAATAATAATAATAATAATAAATATCGGTTATTCCGTTATCGGAATTTAAATAATTTAATATCAGATATCAAAAATAGATTTTTAGGTCACGGACACGAAACGATTATGTATTTACAATATTTAATACCATTTTTCCTACTTGAAGATACAGATATCGAAAAAATTATTAAATCGGCCAAATTTTATATCGATGATCTAATTGGCTCGATAGAAGAGGTTAGAGGTGAAGTTACTTTGTGGAAACAATTTTGGAAATCCCAATTAGATAAACCTAAAACTGCTATAGAAGCTTTGACTTATGCATCTGAATTTTATCCTAATATAAAGGAATTGCTAAAAATTATTTGCGTTATACCAGTTACCACTTGCACCGCAGAAAGAATATTTTCCTCACTTCGACAAACAAAAACATATTTAAGATCAACAATAGGAGAGGATAGATTAAATGGACTTATGCTTCTTAATATTCATAGGGATATTAAAATTACTCCAGAGGAAGTTATTGAAGAATTCAATGAAAAACACCCAAGAAAATTACAGTTACAATATATGTAAGAAATTATTGTTATTTTTAAGTTTATATTTAATAAATACTGATGTATGAAAAAAAAGTTAGCACCAATAAATCAAATAGAAAATATTAATTTAAATAAATAGAAAGGTGTAACAATCTTTTTTTTTTTGAGCACTCCCTGTCAAAAT